AAGTTCTTGTATAAATTGAATGAGTTGTGATTCACATGATCTCGATTTTCGGAAACCATGTTGGAGATCGTAGAGTATGTTATTTGCCTCCAAATAGTTCATGATGTTACTTGTCACAATATGCTCCATCAATTTACAACAAATACAAGTGAGTGAAATTGGTCTATAGTTTTCAGCCTTGTATCGTTCGCCCTTTTTAAATGCTGGCGCAACAATTGCATGTTTCCAGTCTTTTGGTGTTTTTCCTGATTTCAGAGATTTGGTAAATATGGTGTTAAGGATAGGTGCAATTTGTACTTTTAGTTCTTTTAAAACCCGTCCACTGATATTATCTGGACCACTTGCTTTATGTGGATTTAGTTTATGTAACAATTTTTCGACACCTGGTGTTGTGATTTTTATTTCTGGCATTTTTGTGTATGGGCTTGGACCCTTATCAGGAATATTAGTTGGTGGTTCGTTAGTAAATACTGAAATTGTTGATTAAGAATGTCTGCTTTTTCAGTAGTGTCTGTTACAAGTATGCCTTCTTTTTTCAGAGGCGCAATTCCTGTATTATCATTTCTAGTGCTTTTGATGAACTGAAATAGCTTTTTTGGTTTTGTGTTTGTGGACTGATGTTGGTCCGGTTCATTGATTGGTAAATCACAAATAATTTGTTCTATGTAGTTCCAGTATGCCTTCCTTTGCTCTTTTTGGACTGTTTGTTTTAGTTTCTTGTATTTCGAAGGGTTTTCATTTCTGTTTTTATAACACTTATTTTTCTTGTTAATGAGTTTCCTTAGGTTGTTGTTTATCCAAGGTAGTCTATGCTTGTATGTGAGCATTTTGTGAGGTACATTTGACTCTATTGATTTGAGAAGATCGTTTTTGAAGGTGTTCCATAGTGTATCTGCATCACTCAAGTCATACAAGTTATTGATGGTGTTAAGTGTTGTAGTAAGGTCATTTTTAATGATGTTCCAGTTTGCCTCTTTGTATTTAAGTATTTTTCTTGGTGTTTCTCTTACTCTTTTAAGCCAGGTGTCCATTTCTACATAGACTATATCGTGATCTGCTGAGCCAATCGGTGGTAGTGTGTTAAGTTTATTGATGCTAGTTGGATTGTTTACTAGAATGAGATCTAATATTCTATCTTTACGTGTTGGCTTGTCTGTGGCTTGGTGCAAGTGGTGATTTGATATTATGTCTAGTAAAAGCTGATGTTGTTTAGCATCTGGTTTGCCTAAGATGAATGTTGGTATTGACCAGTCTATTTGTCCAAGATTAAAGTCCCCTCCTAACCATATATTTGTGGTTGTTGTATTATCTAGTCTATTCAAGGAGATGTTAAGTTGTTCCAAAGATGTACCTTTATCTGATGGGGGTCTATAGTAGCTACCAACACAGATCTTTTTTGTGCCAGAGATGTTTATTTCTGCCCATACTATCTCACAATCTGTTTTAAGTTCTACAATTTCAGAACTAATAAACTCTTTGGTGATAGCTATTAAAACACCACCATGGCTTTGGTTTTTGTTGTTTGTTGGTCTATCATTTCTGTATACATTGTACAGGTTGCTTGGAAAAAAGTCAGTTGATGGTATTGACTTGTCTAGCCATGTTTCTGTACCTATGATAATGTCTGGTTTACATGAATTGATTATTTCTAATAGATCAGGTTTTTTATTGCAAAGTGATTGGAAATTTATGTTGATTACTCTTATTGGTTTTCTTACTTTGGATTTTTGCTTTTTCTGTTGTGAACCCTTGTTGTTTTTATGTACCGGTAAATCTATAGGTGATGATGTTGCATTTGGTACACCTGGGCTGCTTAAGTCTGAACATTTACTGAGATCAGAATACTGATTTTCTGTATCGATTGAGTATGTGGAGTTAAATAATGATGTTGAAAAATTTGGCATACCACATTGTAAGCACTCCCACGAGATGTTGCTTGCATCCATAAATTTGTAAATATTTGAGTGTATACCTTGACAGTTAATATGGAACCAGGTATCACAGCTGTCGCAACATACCGCTTTATGTTTTCAGGTAACTGCTTTGTTACAAGTATCGCATGGCCATCTTGGCCCTGGGTTTGTTTCAGTATCGAAGGCATTTGCAAGTAGAATTATGAATAAATATTTATTTACTGGTCTGCATTTGTTTACTTTTAATTTCAGGCTCCCTAAGTTTGTTATTGAGCTGTGTGTTTTCTGATCATGTGTGTGTTCATGCTCCTCTTTTTCAAAGATGGTTTTGAAGTTTGCATGATGGCATATGAGCAATATTAAGGAGGTGATCAGTAAAATATGTTAAATTTTTAATATATACCTTTGTTCACTTTATCTTCGTCTCTTCGGCTACCAAAGAGCACAGGAAATTGAAATAAGTTTTATAACATTTGTTGGTAGAGACTAGAAAAGAAAGATTCACCAATTTTTGCGTTAATAAAGGAGCATAACTCACGAACGGTCAAAGTGAAGCCACTCAAATTCGAATAAATTGATCTGTGTTCTGTGAAAAAAATAATTGTGTGCAAATAAAGTAAGAAAATGGAAACCAATTTCTGTACAGACAGACATATGTATGGATGGACATCATGACAACAGTAAAAGTTAATGCCCCTTCGACTAGCAGTGGGGCATAACAAAAAAGTTATGATTATATTATTCATTCTGTCTTGGGATTCAGTAAATTTTCCAGATATTTTTTTTAACTTCAATCTACTTATATAGTTTGATTGGTGATTCATTCAGTGGTAAAATAATAAAAAAATCACACCAGATACATCATCTAATACAAGAATAGATTGTCACTAAATACTTGTGGCAAACTATTTTTTATTTAGACCAGATACATTATCCAATACGAAAATAGATTGTCACTAAATACTTAGCTCTGTAGAGAAGAGATATAACGTGACAGCAAGGTATTTGTCACTATACAAATCCTTGGTGACAGTACCCAAATTGCACATATCAACAAAAACAGCTTTGGAAAATTACAAGTTTTCTTTAAGAATAAACACTTAGTATTTTTATGATTTGACATTACACACGTCTTTTAACATAGCTGAATATACTTAAATATACACAAAACGTTCACAGTTAATATCAACAGATGAAGCTTTCACTGGAAAAAGTAAATCTACGGAATCGTCGTCATGCGATGTTCTCAATAAGTCATCATTTCTTATTAAATGAATAGCAAGCATGGACTAATGTCAAATTGTTCTAAATATTTGAAGAAATGGAACAAAACATCTAGCTGTTATTCAATTCTTAAGGATGTGAATTTAAGCATGGCCAGCTGGCCGATGCAATTTGGGTACTCCTCTTATAAATGGAATCCTGGATCGTTTGGAGGTCGGTTCATACTCATTTTTCTATGATTCAATATGGATTCAAAATTAAATTGGTGTAACTATAATAAACAAGTATACATCTACAAAATAAACACAGATTGGAAACTTTTGTCTGCATCGTAAAAAAACGTACGTGAAAATAAATGTCTTCTCTAATGAATAATACACTTTCAGGTCTTTAGTGTAACCCCACTCTGGTTTTACATACAGTGCTGTTTGCAACGCCGTATCCTTCAATTTCATTAAAAACATAAACTTGAACGGTGTATAAAATGCTTTCAAAAGTGAGAAAACAACATAAACGCAAACGCGTATAGAGATTTTATTTTAAAAACTGATTGATAAAAGTGTAAGCAAATTCAGTTCTAGAATTAACAAATAAAATTTGTTCGGTGTAGAAAAAAAACCTTTACCGGGATTGCGGCTTGCCAAACTGAAAACACCATCATACTGAAGTGCAGGTGTGCCTAGGCTATATTGGCAGAAAATATAAAGATACAGATACATGGACCTGCTAAGGCACAAATTCATTAGAGAAGACGTTTATTTTCACCTACGTTTTTTTACGATGCAGACAAAAGTTTCCAATCTGTGTTTATTTTGTAGATGTATACTTGTTTATTATAGTTACACCAATTTAATTTTGAATCCATATTGAATCATAGAAAAATGAGTATGAACCGACCTCCAAACGATCCAGGATTCCATTTATATGAGGAGTACCCAAATTGCATCGGCCAGCTGGCCATGCTTAAATTCACATCCTTAAGAATTGAATAACAGCTAGATGTTTTGTTCCATTTCTTCAAATATTTAGAACAATTTGACATTAGTCCATGCTTGCTATTCATTTAATAAGAAATGATGACTTTTTGAGAACATCGCATGACGACGATTCCGTAGATTTACCTTTTCCAGTGAAAGCTTCATCTGTTGATATTAACTGTGAACGTTTTGTGTATATTTAAGTATATTCAGCTATGTTAAAAGACGTGTGTAATGTCAAATCATAAAAATACTAAGTGTTTATTCTTAAAGAAAACTTGTAAGATTTCAACAGCTGTTTTTGTTGATATGTGCAATTTGGGTACTGTCACCAAGGATTTGTATAGTGACAAATACCTTGCTGTCACGTTATATCTCTTCTCTACAGAGCTAAGTATTTAGTGACAATCTATTTTCGTATTGGATAATGTATCTGGTCTAAATAAAAAATAGTTTGCCACAAGTATTTAGTGACAATCTATTCTTGTATTAGATGATGTATCTGGTGTGATTTTTTTATTATTTTACCACTGAATGAATCACCAATCAAACTATATAAGTAGATTGAAGTTAAAAAAAATATCTGGAAAATTTACTGAATCCCAAGACAGAATGAATAATATAATTATAACTTTTTTGTTATGCCCCACTGCTAGTCGAAGGGGCATTAACTTTTACTGTTGTCATGATGTCCATCCATACATATGTCTGTCTGTACAGAAATTGGTTTCCATTTTCTTACTTTATTTGCACACAATTATTTTTTTCACAGAACACAGATCAATTTATTCGAATTTGAGTGGCTTCACTTTGACCGTTCGTGAGTTATGCTCCTTTATTAACGCAAAGATTGGTGAATCTTTCTTTTCTAGTCTCTACCAACAAATGTTATAAAACTTATACACTACTTATTACCACAAAACACAGATCAAGTTTGAATTTTACTCCCGTCACTGTAACCGTTCTTGAGTTACATGTATTTATGCTCCTTTATTATAAAATGGAAAAAATTGCCAAATCTTTGGTGGATCCGACAAACTTTTGTATACAGATTTTATTTATTTAGATATGATTTACAAACTTCAGAAAAGGTTGAGAAGCATTTCAATTCTAGGGCATTCCAACCTGAAGCAAGTTGTACCAATGGAATTGATGGAAGCCCCCATTAGAACACTGTGCATAACTGTGGTTGCAACTTCACCATCTGATACAGCATCTAGTTCATCAAAGATGACCTAAGCTGAAGTGGTGAGACTTCCTCTGCATGCAACAGGTCATACCAAACTAAAACCACGTTTGATAATAAGGTATGAAAATAATGTCTAATATTGTAAGAATGAATGGAACATATGCCAGAGGAATGTCTGTCACTTTTTGTTTTTATACACCCTACAAACAAAGTTTTGGGAGATACATAAACAAAAATATTATGTTTCTCCTATTTCTTAAGAATTATATATATATAAACAGTCACATATATAAACGGTCGTGTCGTCTGATTTTTTAAACAGAATTTTCAGATTTACTTTACATTTAATAAACAAAGCATACATGTAGCTGTACCCGAACTTAGTTATACACTGCATGAGAAAGGGTCCCGGTATTTTGATCGCAGGATTTGAAAAAGTTATGCGATACTTATTTATAATAGTCTATATGTTGGAAAGTCGTGCACGCTTAAAATTCTTTCATGAGAGTGACACATTGTTCATTTTCTAAAATAAAACAGGATATACTGTAGATACAAGACAAAATGTATACTGTACTGAACAAATCAAGCGTAAGAAAATAAATCATGTAGACAAATGAAATATACTTGGAAATTGCCCTAACAAATATTGCCTCTACAGCTGCCCCAAAGAGCCCACTCTTAACGAAATTTGCAGAAAGGGTCTTTTACATATATATGTACTATAGTTTAGTTACTATCTCCCTTTACGTTTAATATGACGGTGCTGGCTATGAAATTTAATAATAATTAAACTACAAGCCATCCGCTGTACTGTGGATTCACTTATTTTCGTGGGTACCAATTTTCGTGGATTGCGGAAAACTTGCCTTTTCGTGGATATTTGATTTTGTGGTTTTGCAAAAGTCTTCATAAACCCTTATTGAAAATATGTAATTCGTTGAACATTGAATTTCGTGGTTTACATGTACCCACGAAATCCACGGAAATTGGTATCCAACGAATAATAATGAATCCACAGTATTTCAAAAGGCTATCTGTTTCTTCAGAAAATAACCATACTTTGTGTAGAGATAACATTTTTGTAACACGTGACTGAACAACATAAAGAATGAACAATACTGTTATACAATTCTATAAGGAATCATCATTCAAAAATGTTAAAGAGGTACACCAAAAAATTAAAAAAGTTCTCCCCGTTTTCAAGCAACTCGACTTTTAACTTAATTGCAATAAAGATTTATAATAAATATAAAAATAGTAGTGCTGGATGGGGGATTTCCTTGTGTGAGTTGACTCAAAGTGTTAGTTTATTCAGGTTACACACGTTTTATATTTGTAAATGCAGTTTTTATGTGAAGTGTACATATCACAAAAATAAAAGCTAATATTTTAAAAAATATCATATTTTTTGTTATCATGCTTATTGGTTAATAAAGTTATTTTTTTTTTAATTTTGATTACAGTGTATGGAAATGAAGAAATCAATTGGAGTCCCTACATTTAAAAGGAGGAGTGTGTCTTCAGTTGAGATTGGTAGAAAAAAAGAAAAAAACAGTTAGGACTCAGTTAGCATATTATTTTGAATAGTATGACTACAAATGGCCATTTATAATTTATATTATATATATATAGTCATTAATAATATTATACCATAAATGATGGCCCGGAGAACATAGCAAAACATCAGATAGTATTTTGTACATTTAATGTTTTTTTTTATTTGGCTGATAAATCCAACATTGACATGAATGAAATCAAAATTTTCTTTTCGTTTTATACCAGCTGCATGCATGATAAATGTTATATACATTTTCCAAAATAAAATGTTTATAAAATCTATGATGGAAAATAAATGCTGTATTTTTTATTCATAAATATCAAATGTTAAATAATTAATCCAAAAAAAATAAAACTTAAAATTCTTAATTCTTAATTTAGTCTCACAGATGAAGAAGATGCACTTATGAAACAGGGTTGGTCATTGTTGCATTACTCTTTATTTGTTTATCTTTTGTTTTGCTCCACTATGCATTATTTTATTTGTTAACAATTTTACAAATGGCCTCTCCAGAAAAAAATACAAAGCTGTTTGAGTTGGAACTACATATTTATTTTAAGATACCTACATAAGGATGATAATTATTTTGCCATTTAACCTTAAAATGTGTATTTCTGAACCCCTTTGTACTTTTTCCTGGTAAATCTCTTACAAGAATGCATGCTGTTATTGTTTTGAACGTCTAGAAATATGGCCCTATTACACATGATACATCTTCTTTCCAGAGGAATTAAATGATATTTAGATAAGATAGATATGCAAGTTACATGTAAAAAGTAAATTAACAAAAATACCGAACTCCGAGGAAAATTCAAAATGTAAAGTCCGTTATCAAATGGCAAAATCAAAAGCTCAAATACATGAAGCGAATCAGAAAACAACTGTTATATTCCTGACTTGGTACAGGCGTTTTTTATGAAGGAAATTTTTTAGTAAAACCGTATTTAAAGATTAATAAGATCGTTAGAAACAAGGCAATTGACCTAATCATCATGCACGAAAGTAACTGCATGGTATTATGCTTTGGTCACTATAATGCATGGAGAGATTATGAATTGTGTCTATTTGATACAGCACTGATACAAAAAAAAAACTAAAAAGAGTTAATGAATGGCCATTGATATAATTTTGAAGTGGACTAGCTCACTTTAATACACATGAGCTGAAAAAAATTAAAATCTACCAATAAAATTACTTAATGATTGTACAACTACTGAAATCCCTTTACTTTTAGTTTAAGACTGTTTAATTTTTTAGTTACTTTCATTTCATATTTAATATTGTGCATTTTTAATAGATACAGGGTAAAGACGAGTGATCTAGTGTTTGGGGTCACCGAGGATGTGGCTGTTGTCCTACCAAACAAAGCTTAACTGGAACATAGTTTTTATCAGGTATTGTTGTATATATGTAAGACTCCAGATCGATGCCCAGTCTCTAATCGACGTCCATTCCTCAAATCGACGTCCAAATCTGACGTCACAATAAAATAACATTCCAAATCGACGGCCAATTTTATGTCGCTCTTAAATCGACGTCTTTTTTGTTGTTCTCAAATCCACGTCCACGTTAAACGACGTCCGTTTTATTGACGTGTCGCAGTGAAATCTCATCCTTATCAAAGGTGGGATGAACCTATAACTCAAAAAAGTTGTTGAAAAATATAACCAAATTATAATACTTTTCAACAATTTGCCGTACGTTTTTATTCTTTCTATTGTTTGAGTCTGTATAGATGTACTGCCCTCTAGATGTCTTTTGATTATCTTTGTCTTTGGGTTGTTGTCTTATTGTTGTACAATGTATACCCACATTTATTTGTTTATATGAACAAGAAAAGAAAACGACAACGTACGTCGTTTTTGTGATTCATAACATCACATTGGACGTCAATTAGAGGGTTAAAATACTGGACACTGATTTTAGAACGTGACGTCAAATTTGGACGTCGATTTGAGGAACGGACGTCGATTAGAGACCGGACTTCAATCTGAGTCTTACATATATTTAATGACTTGTGCTATAGATATATATAAATATATATATTGAACTGCATAAATATCAGATATCTGCATTTCCATCCATTAATAGTGTTACTTCAAAACCAAAAGACAAAATCATATAAAGAATATATTTGGACTACATTACAATGTATCTTGAATGCATTTATTTAACTATGTAATATAAACTTCAAGTTTGATAATATTAAAATGTTCTTCAGCATCAATTATCATAGTTTGCTCATAAACTATTGTCTTAATGCTGAAAAATCTGATTTATAGTAATAGATTGTTTTAACTTAATATAGACTCACATAAAAAAGCAACTGCTTGAACCCATATCAATGCATCCTACGAAGAAAATGCCTATGGTGAAGAAAGAAGAAAATGTACACATTTTATTTATTTTAAACATTTCTGCCCAATTGATAATGCAAAGCATTACATATTAAAGTATGTTAATTTTTTAGTTCATTCTTTGTATATATTTCCACTTTCACTGAAGCCATCGTAGTAGGAAACTTTTTTGTGTTCAGAGATATGGGATATATGTAATAGTTGATCATTTAATTAAATTCATGGTGATTATTATTGCAAAGCACCTTTAATTGTCCTGTTTGTCCAGTGATGTGCTTAAAAGAAGACTTTTTGATAGATCATGTTATTTTGGCCATACTGAAAAAATAAAAAAAGGTTTGATTGATAATGTCATATATTACATGAAACTACTGCCTTCATTCAAACACTGGGCATCTTCCCAAAACAAAAATGAAAACATTTGATAGACTAGCGATTCAAAGAGCTCAAGGACTCAAGGACGTTGAACAGAAAAACAACTCATAACCAATAACTATCACGTAAGAAAATGCTTGTAAATATGTAAAAAGCGTGTATAAGCTTGTATTACACAATTGAATAGGTAACTATTGATACATGTACTTTTTATCATATAACCAATTGGAATGTTACACCATCATTTCCCAGTCAATCATATTCATGTAATTTTTTATTCACTCCTTGCAGTGTAATGCAAGAAATATCTCTTAATGTGAGAAATAGACAACATGCTATAAACATGAGAAAATAGATTTAATTTTCTAAGGCTTGACACATTTATAAAATAATCAACATAGAATGAAGAATGGAAACGGGTAATGTGTTAAAGAGACAACAACCCAACCAAAGAGTAGAAAACAGCCCAAGGCCACCAATGGGTCTTTAATTTGCACTATTATATGATTGTTATAAGCAAAATATAAATAAGAATTTATGTTCTTATGCCTTCATTTATTTTGTAGGCAGAATTCAGACAGACAGATATTCGTCATTTCAGGTTAGTTATATACATTCAGAATACATCACACCATTTGACAATATGGTAAATTACTTAAAGGATGTTTTCTACTCAGTTTCAAAATATCAAGCTTTTCCTAACACTGGTAAATATTGATAGGAGAGTAATAAACTCACTCACTCACTCGCTCACAACTAAAAGAGCTAAAATACTTAAAGGACTGTGTTTTTTGTGCTTGTTTTTGAGATATAAGCTATTGAAAATTTGGGGGGGGAAATTCTCTCTTGAATTTTGATATCTTTATAATTGACAAATCTTACTTCACAAACACTATTACAAAATGCTAGGATGCTAAAATTACAAGAATTTGATAAGATTTTTACAAATGGCTTCTCTCCGGCATAATAAAGATTTATGAAAAGAAAAATGAGTGTAAGTATCAAAAATAATTTTTGGTCTTCAAATGGACAGAACTAGAGGAATTCCAAAATCTGACAATAATTTAAAAACCTGACTAGCAAACATCTTTAATTAATATGGATTTAATTCTGCTGTATGGTATTATTTATATTTGAACTTATGGAAGATTTATATACACCAAAATACAGGTGTTCAAATTGGTGTTGGTCTGAGGTCCATGACCTTCCATTTACTGGTTTGGACCTTCCCACCGGTAGTTAGTTACACCCTATGTACTTTCATATATTTGCAGTTCAAATGAATTACAAAAACATATTGAGCAAAAATATGAAAATTTAGTATTAAAATGATCTTAATATATGCAACTATACTGAAAGGGAACTTATGTGGTTACTTACATTCTTTACCCTCGTGACGGGTCTTCGTACAAGATACCAGGAAACTGGAGAATATATTATTAGAACATAACTAGTAAACAGAATGAGTCTGTTTGGTTTTTTATGAATTGAATTATCAAAAAAAATTGGCTCTTCAAAAAATAATGGAGGACCTTTAAGTATCATTAGTCGAAGGTCAGGCTGGACCTTCCTTTGCCTAAAGTGAATTTGAACCCATGGATTAAAAGGACATACAGGTATCAACAAGCATTTGATTCTTTTTTTATGCCCGCCGTAGCAGAGGGGTCATTAAGTTTTACCCTTGTCCGTCGGTACGTCCCAAAGTTAATTGGCTTCTGTTCTCTAACTTTAGTTTGCCTCAACCAAATGGTTCACTTTTACCGTTCTTCAGTTATGTCCCTTTATAACTTTATATGATGTGCAAGCGGGGGCATCATCTGTGTCCCATGGACACATTCCCCATTTATTTTTAAATACATCATATATGTAGTGTGAGTGGTCAATTTCAATATAATTTACTTTTTTAATTGGATTTTCGAAGGAAATATCAGTTATTAAAATGGTGATGTATGGCGGGCGGCTGGGCGGATCTACGCACGGCTGCCAAACAGTGTCAGCACAATAACATGAAAACACTTTAACAAATTTTTTTCAAATTTAAATATGTTGTTTCCTGGGACTTAATGAAGGTCTAGTTCAATTTTCAAGATATTAGTTTATCTCCTTTGTGAGTTATCGCCATTTTTTAATATCCAAAAGTGGAATTTTTAAATATTTTACTCTTGTTATCTTTTTTATGACTAAGCATAATGTCTTATCTCACAATAAAAATTGGAGTGACAGATTTATTTGAAAATTATCTATTTCCTAAGTGGTAATGATTATAAGCTATATTATTAGACATTTTGAAGTTAATTACATTATTAATTATTAATTAGATCTGGGTTATATGATGATGAACTTATATCTTAGCATATAATATCATTGGAGTGACAGATTTATTTGAAAATTTTCTGTTTCCTGATAAGATCTGTAGGACTGTATATATAAAGTTTGAAATTTACTAGTTAAGGACAGTATAAATGAAATTTGAAATTTACTGTTCATTATTAGACATTTTGTAGATAATTAAGTCTCCCTAAACCATATATATTCTTACCCCCACCCCCTTTCAATTTGAGAATGTGCTTTTATTTTGTAAACGGTTGAGATCCCCACCCCTAAACCATATATATTCTTGTATGGGACAATAAAACAAATCAAATGAAATATTTAGAGAGTCCCTGGGTTCACCCCCACCCCCCTACTTTTTGAAAACTTGTAAACAGTCAAGATCCCAACCCTGAAACCATATATATTCTTGTATGTGACAACAAAACAAATCAAATAAAATAAAAGGTGAGTCCCCTGGGGTCACCCCCACCCCCTCCTGTTTGAGAACTTGTAATCGGTTGAGATCCTCACCCCTAAACCATATATATTCTTGTACGGGACAATAACACAAATCAAATGAAATATAGGGGAAGTCCATTGGGGTCACCCCCCACCCCTTCTTTTTGAAAACTTGTAAACAGTCAAAATCCCCACCCCTAAAACCATATATATTGTTGTATGGGACAATAAAACAAATCTAATGAAATAAAAGGCAAGTCCCCTGGGTCACCCCACCCCATCCTGTTTAAGAACTTGTAAATCGAAGAGATCCCCACCCCTAAACCATATATATTCTTGAATGGGACAATAAAACAAATCAAATGATATATAGGGGAAGTCCATGGGGGTCACCCCCATCCCCCTTCTTTTTGATAACTTGTAAACAGTCGAGATCCCCACCCCTTAACCATATATATTCTTGAATGGGACAATAAAACAAATCAAATGAAATTGAGGGGGAGTCCCCTGGGGTCACCCCCACCCCCCTTTTTTTGGAAAACTTGTAAATGGTCAAAATCTCCACCCCGAAACCATATATATTCTTGTATGGGAAATCAAACAAATCAAATAAAATACAAGGCGAGTCCCCTGGGGTCACCCCCACCCCCTCCTGTTTAAGAACTTGTAAACGGTCGAAATCCCCACCCCTAAACCATATATATTCTTGTATGGGACAATAACACAAATCAAATGAAATATAGGGGAAGTCCATGGGGGTCACCCCCACCCCCTTTCTTTTTGAAAACTTGTAAACGGTCAAGATCCACACCCTGAAACTATATATATTCTTGTATGGGACAATAAAACAAATCAAATAAAAAAGAAAAGGCGAGTCCCCTGGGGTCACCCCCACCCCCTCCTGTTTGAGAACTTGTAAACAGTCGAGATCCACACCCATAAACCATATATATTCTTGTATGCAATAAAACAAATCAAATGAAATATAGGGGAAGTCCATGGGGGTCACCCCCACCCCCCTTCTTTTTGATAACTTGTAAACGGTCTAGATCCCCACCCCTAAACCATATATATTCTTGAATGGGATAATAAAACAAATCAAATGAAATTGAGGGGGAGTCCCCTGGGGTCACCCCCACCCCCTTTTTTTTTTAAACTTGTAAATGGTCAAAATCTCCACCCCGAAACCATATATTCTTGTATGGGACAATCAAACAAATCAAATGAAATACAAGGCGAGTCCCCTGGGGTCACCCCCACTGCCTCCTGTTTAAGAACTTGTAAACAGTCAAGATTCCTACCCCTAAACCATATATATTCTTGTACAGGACAAAAAAAAATCATATGAAATAAAGGAAGAGTCCCCTTTTGAGAACTTGTAAACGGTCGAGATCTCCACCCCTAAACCATATAAATTCCTGTTCGTAATTTCAAGAAGATTTGAATGACATACAGGGTCAATCCATAGGAGTCACTAACGCATATCATAAACCAATTTGTACTGGACATTGCCCAATGTCAAGCGACAATGGGAATGACGAATTATTGGAGCTTTGTTTGGGAGATTTCGTAACAGCATTCTGTTACAATTATTTCTTGTTACTGATAAGTTTTATAGATTTTGAAATGACATTGTATTAATGATAAATAAAATTTTGGATTTTTTTCTTCTTTTCTTTGATAAATTGTTTGTAGAATTTTGTGGCAAGTTTGTTTGTTATTCTGTAAAAACTAATTTTCTGAATGCTATATGTATTTTTTTTTTTGATGAAGTAAACTCCTTTAAAAACTAAGCTTATATTGTCTATTAATAAACATATATTTAGATTTCTGATTTTGGGCCCAGTTTTCAAGTTGGTCCAAATTGAGGTCCAAAATTAAACTGTTTGATTTCAACATAAATTGAATATATATAGGGTTCTTTGAAATGCTTAATCTAAACCTGTATTTCTTTTCATTATTAATAAGATAATACCACATTGAGGTCCAAAGGGTCCTAAATTACACTTTTGATTAATTTCATCAAAAATTTAATTCTTTGGTTCTTTGATATGCTGATTCTAGCAATGTTTGAGTGTTAAATCATATCTAGTTTTAGAGAACTTAGTCATCACTGGTTGTTATTATTATATTGATTATAATTTGAAAAATTGCATCATATCTTATTTTAGAGAACTATTTATCCAGTTTGAGTTATTTCCCTTTGCACAGAAAATATTATGGATAAAATTAACCTGTGTTTCATTTCAACATAAATTAAATATATATAGGGTTCTTTCAAATGCTGAATCTAAACCTGTATTTAAATATTAGATTTTTGGGCCCAGTTTTCAAGTTGGTCCAAATCATGGTCCAAAATTAAACTTTGTTTTATTCAACAAAAAAATTATTTATGGGGTTCTTTGAAATGCTGAATCTAACCATGTATTGAGAGATTTTGGATTGTGGGCTCCTTTATCAAATTGGTCCACATTGAGATGCAAAGGTTCTTAAATTAAGCTTTGTCTGATTTCATCAAAAATTGAATTCTTGGGGTTCTTTGATATGCTGATTCTAATATGTACTTAGATTTTTGATATTGGACCATAATAGGTATTTAAATGTCCAATTTCAAGTATTTCAGTTCTTAACCACATTCATTTTGTGTCACAAACCTATGCTGTGTCAAATATTCAATCACAATCCAAATTCAGAGCTGTTTTAAGCTTAAATGTAGTGTCCATACTTGCTCAACTGTTTAGGGTTCAACCTCTGCAGGAAAATCCGGTTTGCTGTCACTCTGACAGCCTCTTGTCTTTTTATTAGATACCAAATAAAGAAAATGCTGTTGAGGAACAGGGGAGTTTCTGTGATTAGAATGATACACAAAGAGCATTTGGTAGTGTATAATAGATGATATTTTTTTTAATTGGATACAGTAAATAACAATATTTTTGTATACATTATTGTCACCATTTTCAATCTGACAACAGACTTGAATTTTAAATTAAGTTTAAAGAGGTATTACATGTATTTACATTTGCACAAAAAAATATGTTGATAGGTTTGATTTCTATCAAGAAAAATGCTATTTCTGCACATACTGCCTCTTTAAAAGTCTTACTTTTGAATAGAATTTATGTATAAATATATAAAAAAATCTTAAACATGGTGATTTGTGTTTGTAAAAAGTTCTTTTTATATTATATAAATTATTGCAGTTAATCATTCACTATTAATGTACTTTTAACATGTTTAAGCAATCTTTAGTTGTTGAAATTGTATTTTTTCAAGATTTTTACCGTTTTTCATTTTAATTTTATCAATCAAGTTAAAGAGTGTGTATATAATGCAACTGAAAACTCTTTATCTCTGTTCTGTATCTAATAATATAAATATATATCTATGTGTATATTGTTTCAGAGTGTGATGAAGTTGAGAGTAGTATTTTAACCAAAAGAACATCTGCCTTAACAACAGTGAAGGTTTTAGCGAGCAGGTGCTATTTGGTGATGTTGAAAGAAATCCAGGACCTACAATGGTATCAATCACCCCAAAAAAATGTTATGTTTGAGACTGAAATTTATTTAGGATGATTTGATCTGAAAAAAATACTTTTAATTTGAGACATATAAACTTAACTCATTCATGTCATTGGCACTCATACCACAACTTCTTATATCTATTAACAACTTCATTAAAACCCATTTAATAATTCAGGCGTATTGGATAATGTTTCAATTCATCTTTACCATAATTTTCATGGAAATTTTATGTTTTATTGACCAATGGAAAATCTGGTTAGTACTCTGGTGAAGTAAGGCAGACTGGACATGCTGCTACAAACAGTTTCCATGGGATTAATTTAACATTTGATCAATTCAGAAATGGAATAATTTAAAGACCTGAACAAAAAATCAACTTTTACTGTCTTCTAAAATTATTTTTTTTTAATTTTTTTTCCCCTTTAATTTCAAAATAAGAAGAGACCTTACTGGTACAGTTTTAATTTTCCAGATCCAAAATCAAAAAAATATAATGAAATAATTCTGATATAATTGTTACACTGTACTGTATGCTAAATCTATTGAAGATTATTGTTTAAAACCTCCTGCCATGATATAATCTTGTACTTTATCCATCTTATTATACATCCCACAAAGTTTTTGAGGTGAATAAATAATAGGAATCACCCTGTCTGTCTATCTGCCCATAAAAACAAAACAAATTGTCCTATCAAATCAATGTAATTATCTTGCTGCCCTTGATTTTAATAGTTTTTTTTTTTTTTTTTCTAAAAAATTTAAATACGCTTAATCACACTTAATTTTTGATAGTTTAATCTACCTTTCAAGCTAAAGATGTTCCAGTCGTATAATGAATTATACTTGGTAAAATATTTTTAAACCAAAAAAGGGTATTTTTTGTAACATGTCCAAACTGGAAGATCAGAAACAAGACACCATTCCAAATATATCATAGGAAAAGCCAGTCATCTTGTGGAAATGTGATGACTGAACGTGCGAGTGCTGAACAGCCAGTCAAGGTCGTTAAACACTTCCAGTAGAAATGTGATCAAAACAGTTCAAACTTTTTTTTTTCATTTAGAATGAATGTTTATTTCAATAATTGAACCAGATTTTGTGAATTTTACATGAAAGCGATTTTATTTTAGGTTTATCAAGACAAATCTTAGTGCTTGCCATACAAGTGTCAAAGAGTGAAGGGCAAGAACAATTTTAAAGAACAGAGAAGACTTGTTTTATTGCACTTAGTTTTGAGTTTTTGTTTTATATTTTACCACTATGATAGAGTATTATGTAACATTCAGGAAATGTATTGTTCTGATATATCTGTTTTATAATTTCTCCTTTTCATTTGTCCATTTATGGGACGTATTATGGTATATCGTTGACCGTCTGTCTGTCTGTCCGTCCGCCCGTCCATCGTCAACATGTCGGACATTAACTCTAAAACGCTTTAACCAATATGCATGAAACTTTAGTGAATTGTTTATATGTATTCACGTGAGCTCCCTTTCATTTTTTATAAATTTCAGATTTACCGTTTCCGAGTTTTGTGGGTTTTATTCATTAAAAAAGGAGGGATTTTCCAGTTTTTGGACAATAACTCAAAAACAATTTCACCAATTTGCAAGAAACTTTGGTGAATTGTTTGTTTCTATCGACATGAGCTCCCTTTTGATTTTTATAAATTTTAGACTAGATGTTTCCGATTTATGGGGTTTTACTCATTACAAAAAGGGGGATTTTCAAGTTGTCAGACAATAACTCAAAAATGCTTTCAGCATTTTTTATGAAACTTTGGTAAATTGTTTATATCTATTGTTGTAAGCTCCCTTTTGATTTTTATAAATTTTTAGATTTTACGTTTCCGAGTTATAAGATTTTATTCATAAAAAAGGGGTGATTTTCAAGTTTTTGGACAATATCCTTAAAGTGCTTAGGGCAGTTTTCATTAAACTATGATGACTGATTTATATCTATTAAGATAACCACCCTTTATTTTTTTTTATAAATTTCTGATATAACATTGATAAGTTATTGTTTGTTTATAGTCTGACAACAGATTTACTATTTAGTATTGTGCAACAGCACAGTGTATTGCACAACAGCAAGAAATCTTTAATTGAATATAAATTCAATTCATATAACCAATTTCAAGTTCTTTACTACAATGATTCAGAAACCTATAATATGTCAAATATTTAATTACAATCCAAATTCAGACCTGTATCAAGATTGAATATTGTGTCCATTTTTGCCCCAACTGTTCAGGGTTGGACCTCTGCAGGCGTATCCAGCTGTGCTCAGCGAAGCAGTTTATTAGATATGTTTTAGATGTTTTTTTATACCTTTTCCTACTTGAGTACCATTGACAACTATTTAAAGTTTTTAGTAAGGTTACTTTCTTCAATTTGTTTATTTCATAATATTAAGATGTCATTCTTGAATACCTTGTAGGTATAAACTGTGTTTTTTTCTTCTTGATATGTGTAGTATAAATCCCCCCCCCCTCAATTATGTTTAGTTTTGAAAAAAATATATATACCATAAGGACTGTCCACTATGGATGCCTCTCTAAATAAAGATAAGAGAATCTTGGCATACATTAAATACAAATTTCTAAAAAAAAAAAATTATGAAGACTCCATACAAAAAAACTTTTGAAAGTGTCACACCAGTGATTCTTTTTGTATAATTCAGGTTAGTTCTAAATCTCATTTTTCATTGGGGATTTTCTTCATTGCATAGAGGATGCATTTATCATCTAGTTTAATATACCTCACAATGTGATTTTTAAATGTTGTAAATACAGAAAAACATACATAATGATTATGATATGCTAATACTTCATTATTGCAAATAATTTTACTTTAGATTATGATGAATATTTAAACTGGAATTAACTATTCACATGTTATGCTCATTGATTGTTGACATTATGTGTTGAAAGAAGTCAAAGGACTAAGAGTTACAAGACTGAAAGTCAAAAAGTCACAATTTATTAATTTACAATTATTTAAATGTATAAGATAAATTGCTTGTGCATTATTAATTTTTGAAAATGGTAAATTTGTTAATAATTTGTTTGGTCTATAAATTATAATAGATTAAAATGTCAATTGAATTAGTCTGCCTATTAAAAAAAAAATCACTCAAAACCACATAGTGACCTCTTGTTCTATATTTTTAGCTCACCTGGCCCAAAGGGCCAAGTGAGCTTTTCTCATCACTTGTCGTCCGTCGTCCGTTAACTTTTACAAAAATCTTCTCCTCTGAAACTACAGGGCCAATGTTAACCAAACTTGGCCACAATCATCATTGGGGTATCTAGTTTAAAAATTGTGTCCGACGACCCGGCCGGCCAACCAAGATGGCTGCCATGGCTAAAAATAGAACATAGGGGTAAAATGTAGATTTTGGCTTATATCTCTGAAACAAAAGCATTTAGAGCAAATCTGACATGGGTAAAAATGTTCATAAGGTCAAGATCTATCTGCCCTGAAATTTTCAGACAAATCAGACAACCCGTTGTTGGGTTGCTGCCCCTGAGTTGGTAATTTTAAGAAAATTTTGCAGTTTTTGGTGATTATCTTCAATATTATTATAGATATAGAGATAAACTGTAAACAGCAATAATGGTCAGCAAAGTAAGATCTACAAATAAGTTAAAATGACCAAAATTGTCAATTGACCCGTTAAGGAGTTATTGCCCTTTATAGTCAATTTTTTACGATTTTCGTAAATTTTTGTAATCTTTTACAAAAATCTTCTCCTCTGAAACTACTGGGCCAAATAGAATCAAACTTAGCCACAATCATCATTAGGGTATTCAGTTTAAAAAATGTGTCCGATGACCCTGACTGCCAACAAAGATGGCCGACATGGCAAAAATGGAACAAATGGGGTAAAATGCAAGTTTTGTCTATTATTCTGATAACCGTTATAAAAAGAGGAAATCTGAAGAGGGTAAAATTGTTCAGAATGTTGAGCTCTACCAATTATCCATATACGTCAAAACTGTAAGACAATTTCCTGTAGGAGTTATTGCCCTTAAATGACAAATTTTACCACTTTTTTTCGATTTTTGTCTATTATCATATCTTGAAAACTATAAAAGATAGAGAGAAACTGTAAATTGCAAAAATGATCAGAAGGACAAGTTCTTCAAATAAGTCTTATGGTTGAAATCATCAGTTGACTCCTTATTAGAGTTATTTCCCTTTGATGCCTTTTTTGCGTTTTTGTCTTATATCTTAAAACTTATAATAGATAGAAAGAAACTTAAATATACAAAAATGATCAGCAAGACAAAATCTACAATTAAGACAAATGGCAGAAATTGTCCAACGACTCCTTATTGGAGTTATTGCCCTTTAATTATGATTTTTATCATTTTTTTTGGCGTTTTTCCTTGTATGATATTAATTATAATAGATAGATAGAAACTTAAATAATCAAAAATGATAAGCAAGACGAGACCTACTAACAAGTCAAATTTTGCTGATATAATAAGTAGACTGTTACTCTTTATAGGAGTTTTTTTACCCTCTTTTGTGTTTAGAGCAAAAGCTAAATAAGATCATGAAGATAGAGAGAAACTAAACAGACTTCAATGATCAGCAATATAAGATACAAAAAAAACCAGAGATTTTTGTCATTAATTCTATTCTCGTCTACAATGTTGGAGAGTGTCCCCTGTTGAATATGCATATAGACCAAGGTGAGCGACACAGGCTCTTGAGAGCCTCTAGTTTAATTGGTTACTTTTTTGTCTATTTTGTTTTATACCATAATATTATGCATGATAAATATAAATTGTGCTTTATGCATGTCACTAATGTATAGATAATTTTCTTTAAATGTTGTGTAAACTTTATTTAGGTATTTATGGTAATGTATTTATTTACCTATATACAAATTTAGAAAAATTAAAAGTTTTATAATAAAGAACAAAACTAATTAAAACATTTTTTGATTGATTTTTTATCCAATATGTATATTAAAAGGAAAGCTGTTCCAATAATAGATATGGCATTTAAATATAACTTGCATCATATAGAAAATAAAACAGCAAAAGATAGAAAACAAGAGAGAAAATTGCTTCAACAGGGTTGTACTGTCATATTCAAAGTCACATTGCCTGTTTACAGAAGGAATGCAATATAAAGCCTGCATTGGACTTAGTATTGTAGCTAAGCATGTGTGAAATTATTTTTTATTAAATGATGACTGCTATTTTAACTAAGTAAAACTAGATCAGGATACAATCTGTGTGAATTATGTGGGTTTCTTAGAAAGGGTCTGCATGTATGCATGTATGTATTGTCTGTGATTCAGTATGTTATGTCTAGTTCCAAGATCTAGTCTGAATGTATTTTTCCAATATTCAAACATGCAGCATGTATGCTGTTTCTATGGTTTTTATATACAGTCTATGCAATATGTAATGGTTTTAAATGATGATACATGACTTTATCATGTTACAGGATCATTTTTCTGAAAACACCTTTCATTTCAGTTTTTGTCTATATAAAGCTTTATATTTCAAAAGTTAGAAGGCCTAGATACTGCAGATACCATATGTTACGAAATTTCCCTCTGTCAAATGTCCTCAGCTTCATTTTCATGGTTCAGCATCTGCTTAAAGAAAAACAATGTTTGTCATGTGAATTTCTTACATCTATGAGCAATAGGATAACTATATTTGGTATATGGGTTCCTTGCAATGTCTACATTTCAGTCAGACAGGATTCTTCTGACCTTGACCTCATTTTATGTTAAAGTTATGTGATTAGATCCATTTCTAAAATACTGGAAGCATTAGGTCAATTATAGGTTGTGTATGTAATGATTGTAAGGGGTACATGTCAGTCCGGCAGGTTTCATCTGACCTTGATCTTATTTTCATGATTCACTGGTCAGTGTTAAGTTTTTTGTGTTTTGGTCTTTTTTTCAAGTACTACATAAGCAATAGATCAACTATATTTGGTATATGGAATTATTGTAAGGTGTGCATGTGTGTCTGACAGGATTTATCTGAAATGTGAATTGTCTGTGATACTTGTAGTGAAACCTTAATCTATAAGACTCATAAAATCAATGGTCAGTAAAGCAGGTGAGACATTTCAGTGTGTGCACTCTTGTGTGTTTTTAGAAGTCAAATATGATGTTTTGCCTTTGAAATGTACTTTTACTGTACCTGTACAAGCAGAAAAACAAAGGCATTAGTCTAATTTAGTTAAATACAGATTATGAAAGATATAAGGCAAATGTACATGAAACAACCA